CCTGGCCGGGTGGCTCAGTTGGTTGGCGCATCGTCGCCCTGTAACCAAAAGGTTGTGGGTTCGATTCCCAGTCAGGGCACATGCCTAGGCTGTGGGTTCATCTCTGTAGGGGTGCGTATGGGAAGCAACCGATCGATGCTTCTCTCTCACATTGATGTTTCTCTTTCCTTTCCTCTCTCCCTTCTTTTCTCTCTAAAAGCAATGAAAAAAACGTCCTTGGCTGAGGATAAGAAACAAACAAACAAAGGACAGAGTGTGTGTCGCCACACTGTTTATAACCATTTAGAACAAACAAGGGTCTTTGACAGGCTGTAAGAGTCCCTTAGAAATATCTGGACAGTTGTAGATTCACGGAGAAGGGAGCCACGAAAGGCGAAGCATCTCCTACTAACTGGCCAACTGGCAACCTACAATCTGACTGGCCTCTGGAGGCTGAAGTTAATTTTATAACCGGGCAGATTCTTTTGTTCTGCAGAAGAGCTTCAAAGCTCGACGCCAGAGTCCCTCACACTTCAGGAAATTAGGGAGGGTGGTAACGTTGATGGGTTCCTGTGCCCTACAGCAATGCATATCCCCACGGAGGACGTACGCGCCACGGCACGCTCGGGTGCCCAGGTCAGTGACGAGGCTAGATGCCTGGTGCACTAGGGAGGGCAGGCCCGCAGGTCCTACCGGGAACACGTGACCTGAGGCTGGTCACGTGGTCACACCGGCAGCCCAAGGTGGAGGTCGAAGAGGAGAGAGGACCCCAAAAAGCGATGCAGGTTCCTGAATGGGATCCTCCAGCAGGAGGGAAAGAGAGAAGCAACGCTGGGACGGTGGCCCGGTTTGAATGGGATCCTGGACTGGACAAGACTGCCAGCTCAGTGTTGGTCTCCTGACTTGGCAGTGTGGCGGTGAGGCAGACAACGCCCCAGTTTGGGGGGACTGAGCCCTGCACAGTTTTGGGCTTGGGGGACATCCTATCTCAAGCGGTCAGCAGGAGGCTAAGGAAAACGAGTGGAAACACATACTCACGCACACTTGTCTGGACAGAGGGCAACGGGACAAGCGCAGGGACTCTACCAGCTGGGAAACTGGGGACAGCAGGTTATAGGACTTCTTTGCACTGTTTCTTCAACTTTTCCTTCAGTTTGAGAATATTTCAAAACAGCATTTTTAAATGCCTCCTATTGTTCATTCTAATATTGTTGTTTTTTTAAGCTTCTCTTTCCTTTCCAGCCAAAGGCCACCGGAATGCACCTGGAGTGCCCCGAGGTTGGATGTCTTCACTCGCAGCAGCGGGTGAGAAGGCTCCCCACAGGGGACCGTGGGGAACCACGGAGCATCTTCATGGTGGCTGGGGGAGGAGGAAAGGGCATTTACAGAGCCTGGAGGCCAGAGGTAGCCATGGCATGGCCTCGGCAAAGAATGGTCAGCATGTGTAAACGAGGGAGTTGCTGGGACACTGTTTCAGTAACAGAGTCTGAGGAGTGAGTGGTAGACCAGTTGGCCCGCAGTCTTCTCTGGGAACCTATGGGTCTGCATGGACTGGTGTTAGGGTCTGAACGTAGGTTATGATGGCCATGACCGCATGGCCTGGCGGCACTTATCTGTTTTGCAAATCAGGGCACGTTTTGCAAGTTGTGGTCTCTGTTTCCATTTTCAGGGACCACCCCACATCCAGACCCCGCCGCAACCCACCTGCCAGCCAGGCCGTTTATTTGCTTCATCAAATCCCTTCATTCATTCAACAAATGTTTTATGCTGAAGAAAGGCTTGGACTTTCTAGGCAAAACACGACTCCGTAGCAGGCTGGTCCAGCTCCGGCCTGGCCTGGGAAGATTTTGCCAAGTATCTCTGGACACTGTCTTAAGGACCCAGGGAGATGGGATGAGTTCCAGGCCCCCTCGGTAAACCACCATGTCAACCAATTATGCTGCCGGGTTTGCAAAATGACCTAGAAAGCCCATCCCATTTAACTCCCATGGAGGGAGCTGAAACAGTTGCCTCTCCCCAGGACTGAAACGGCATCGCTCTGATGCCAGGGACCGAAGCCAAGCGACTCAGCTGGGACCTGAGGCTTCTCGGCCAGGAATGGAGGCCTGAAAACCACAGCAAGTGGACGTCTTGTTCCACTCTCTCTGCTTTTCCAGGAGCGATAAAAAGTGTACTTTTTCTTAGGCAGAGTTAACGGTAAAAAGTAAAGAAATACATAAACATTATTCTGTTGATCCTGCAAACTTGAGATTTTTGAACTAAGGAGATTATAAACTCAGTGTAATTCTTCCTGTTTGGAGGTTTTGTATTTACTTTGGCAGTCAAAGGAAGCCACAGATTTCATTAAAATTTTTACAGATTTTAAAAATAGTGTATCATATGGCAAATTTTTCAGTCTTTTTGGATGAGAAGAACATTGAAGAAGAGACACCCATGGAAGCTGGGCTATTTCCTAATAGAGAATAAGGATTATGTCTTCCTATATAATTGGAAGCCATTACACACCCTTTACCAAGGTCCTCTGTTTAGACTTTGTGGATAAGGTTTTAAAATTTGGTTTTTACCCCTGGCTGGTGTGGCTCAGGGGATGGAGCGCCAGGCTGTGAACCAAAGGGTCCCTGGTTCAGTTCCCAGCCAGGGCCCATGCCTAGGTTGGGGGCCAGGTCCCCAGAAGGGGACGCTCAAGATGCAACCATACACTGATGTTTCTCTCCCTCTTTCTCCCTCCCTTCCCCTCTATAAAAATAAAGAAAATCTTTTAAAAAATACAATAAAAAATTGGTTTTCCATGATTATATTACAAAATCAACTGCATTTGAGGACCAAACCTGAATGCCTTTTACTTCCCATGAAACCCTTTCCTAATCTACGTTTTAACAAGAGTCTTGCTCTTTCTTCTTTTAAAAAAGAACATAGGATTTTAAAAGTGGAGGGTAAGTCCTTTTTTAACCCCATGCTAAAGATGCTATATGCCCCATGTGTTGGGTTTTATAGCATAATTGTCAGCCTCGGGTAGAAAGCATGAGTAGCCAACCAAGCAGGCTCTTTTTCCTTCTATTTTGTGTTGCTTGGAAAATTAGTTTGTTGGTTTTCTACATACGGAAGATGCTCACTGTAAAAATTTCTAACGCCAAGAGTATGACAAATATAAACCGCTGCCCCATCGGCTACGGCTGGGAAACCTGGGAGAGAAAATGAACTCAAGCTGCAGAAAACCCAAACCGATTGTAGTAACTGGATTTCATGAATGCACTCTCATTACTGCCAGAGAGTTGGGGTGTCAGTACATCCAGGTCAGTGGCTGCCAACGCCTCTCTCTGGAAAGCAGAGAACGGAAATCGCAAACGAGGACCATAAAGCTGAGCGAATGGTTCCATCGCACAAGAAGGCTCCCAGCCATCGACCTTCTGTGAACCTCAACTTGACCTCTTTTCCAACCTCAATGTCAAAACATCTTCCCTTCGGGGATGCTAAGACATTTCACATGTGCGATCGAACCAAACAGGACAGAGCATCAAAAAGAAAGAAATTAACTCTGCACAATGATCTTTAAACATTCACCACAATAAGGAAAAACAGACCTCTATTCACCAACTTTTCCTCACAGCTGAAATAATGTATCTCTGGTTCTGGGAAAGTGAAGGCAACCTTGAAGTAAAGCTTTTTTCCCCATCATAGTTAAAGAAATGTTCACCTCTTTCCCCAACCACAATGGTTCTGTTTGAGCAAGTAAACATATTTTATGACGTGCCAAATGAATTATTTATCTGATTATGCGTCAGTTATGTAAGGAATCACAATGTGTAACATCACATGAAAGAACCTGATAAAATTTCAATTGCCATTTTCATATTCCAACCAATAGTTCAAATGTTTTTCAATTAACTCAATGTCTCACTTTGGAAAAGCACTTTGCCTTATTTTAAACCATACCTGTGTTTTCTTTGTCACCTTAATTGTTCAATCTACTTAGAAAAAATTGACTATTTTTTACTTTTTTTTTTTTCAGTTATTGCTTCAGTGTCCTCAGGGAAGTCACAGTTCACTTTTTTATGTATTATGTCATAAAATGTGGTCAGGCACTTTTAAATAAAATAACTGAGTAAAACTATTTCACTAAAAAGAATTACTGACATTTAAAAAAATTCACAGGTGAAAACATAGAGCATCCACATTTACTGAACTTTTGTTTTCATCAACTGCAGGTAAAAGATGCAGAAGTCATACCCTCAAATTTTTTTTTAAAAAGGGCTTTATTTTCACACTTCGTTACCACCTTTTGAAACAATAATGGGAAATGGTATTTTGTATTTCAGATTTTGTCAGAGCTCATACATCTGGCCTACCAAGCATCCTAAACATTCGTTAATTTGCCGTTGAACCCTATAACATATAAACACGAATAAAACCTTCTCACAGCAAAGGAAGCTCTGGTGTTCTCTTTATGACATTGCACTCTCTCTTACAGACTAGGACAATACAATTAATAGGGAGTAATAGTGGGGCCTGAAAGTGCCAGGGTTCCTCCATAAACATGCGTGACTGTACACGGCCATATGACAACCTGTCACTTCTGCTGGAAAAGCGTAACATGACTAACACTAACCGCTTAGAATGGAAGGAAACATCATCATCATCAATTGGGGTCTGTGCTAATAATAGTCGATGTTACATTATATATTATATTACACATTATATTACTACAATATATTACATAATACTACACATTTGCGCCACTGAACTTAATTCAATTTGGGTTGTAGAGTTCTGGAAACATTTCTTTCCCTTGCTTGGTCTTTGAATCCGAATCATCGCTATGAACCATTTATTGGAAATGAACCATATGGCTACCAGTTAAGAGAGTATGCGGGGCAGTCACCTGTTGGATAAACCAGTTTTGACTGGGGGTGGGGGGGGGAAGCATGAGGTAAAATGAGCCTGCTGCGTTTTTTATGAAAATTAACAAATGAAGCTTCCATACTCTTCGAGAAAAGGAGAAAAGCGTTGAACAGCCTACTCACAGTGAGTTCGCAGAAATCGATGCTGTCGAGGCTCTTGCTCCGGTGCAGCCTCCCTTTGATGCGCCTCAGGGAAGGCTTGCCTTGGCTGGCACTAGCAGTAGCACCGTTAGGGTTTTCAGAGGATGGCGTCACCCTGCAAGAAGGAGAAAGCTTTAAACGGACAGCTTTCCAGGTGAACACACTTCTTCAGCATGTCCTTGAGGACAGCTTGGAAGACATCACATTCCCACCCTGGCCTGGTGGCGCAGTTGGTTGGAGCATCGTTCTGTGCACTGAACGGTTGCGGGTTCCGTCCCCAGTCAGCACGTATACGGGAGGTTACCCATCCATGTGTCTCACGTCAATGTTTCTCTCCCCCCACTCCCTGTCCCCTTCCCCTCTTCCTTTCTCTCAAATCAATGAAAAGCATATCCTCAGGTGAGGATTAAAAAATACATAAAAATAAAAACGTCACATTCCCATTTCAACCAACAAGCTAAGCGTCACGGTGCAAATACTTCTTTCTCCCAGACACCCTTTCTGAATATTGCTTAGCAGCTTGCAAGTTTAGAAATCGTTCTTGACGGAGTTCAAAGGTTCCATCAGGATTCTCAAAAAGTCAACTCTGTAACCATCAAAAGAGCAATGAAGGCTAGACTGAGGTTGCCTAGGTAACCAGGAGGCATCTACTTCCCTCCGGGCAGGTATTAATCGACCGCTCAGCCTGGCGCCTGGCACGCCAGGGCAGGGCAGGCACCGTTGTGCACAGCCACACTGTTCAGGACGCTTCTGTGAAGCATGAAAAGAACCCTGAAAACTGAAGTGTGACAGTCGACACTCGATTCAGCATTAATTCCGAAAATACAGATACGACACGGCAATAATCTAAGCCACCCCCAGAACAGCCAGTGGGACGCACGTTCATACACACACACGCAATGGGAACTGTCCCGTGTTTTCTCATTTCTGCGCCACAGCTGGCGGCAGCCTTAGAACGCGGCGCCCTGGGAACCCGGGTGGCGACAGCTCCGTGGATTGTGGATTGTGGTTTGCTGTCACAGACAGATGACAAAGAGCTTAAAGTACTGCTTTGTAAGTGTGGGTTATGAACATCAGTTTCTTTATTTCATAATCAGATCTCCTATTTGTAATACATTCCGTGTTCAGGTATTTACCAACCTTCATATCTACCCATATAGTTAGAATATTTGAAGAGGGCAGAAAGATACAAAAATGAACAGTCAATGCCTCCCTCTTCCCCTTCATTCCAAATCCCCAGCCCTTCTCCTAAGAAACACCACTACTAACAATTCTTTGCATAACCTTCCAGACAAACGCTCATCTGTGTATGTGTTACCCACCTTTTCAAATTTTTTATTTAAGTGACCACATTGTCCATAGTGTCTGCACCTTATTTTTTCACTTAATAACAGATCTTGAAATTCTTCCCCTAATAACCCACATAGATCGCGTTCATTCTTTTTTTTTTTTTAAAGAATTTATTTATTTATTTTTAGAGAGAGGGGAAGGGAGGGAGAAAGAGAGGGAGAGAAACATCAATGTGTGGTTGCTTCTCATGTGCCCCCTGCTGGGGACCTGGCCTGCAACCCAGGCATGTGCCCTGACTGGGAATTGATTTTTTGGTTCGCAGGCTGGCACTCAATCCACAGAGCCACACCACCCAGGGCTCATTCATTCTTTCTAATGACTATATAAGATTCCATAGTGTATTTCTACCATCATTTACTTAACCATTCCCTGCTGATGGGTGTCATTTAAGTTTTCAAATGCTGGCTACCAGTACCAACACGATATTTACTTAGGAAACACTCCTAGAAGTAAAATGCAGGGTCAGAGGATTCTAGATGTTGCTAAGTACTGCCTTTCAACAAGGCCTCCCCAGCCCTGGCTGGAGTGGCTCAGTGGACTGAGTGCTGGCCTGTGAACCAAAGGGTTGCTGGTTTGAGCCCCAGTCAGGGCACATGCCTGGGTCGCAGGCCCAGCCTCCAGAAAGGGGTGTGAGAGAGGCAATCACACTTGATGTGTCTCTCCTGCTCTTTCTCTTTCCCTTCCCTTCTCTTTAAAATAAATAAATAAAATCTTAAAACAAAAAAAAAGAAAGTCTATGTATCAATCGTTATTTTTGGTATGTTTATGCAAATAATCAGGCCAAATCGGGCAACTCTAATGCTAGCTGTCTATACACACCCACACTTATATAATTCTATGTATATATACACACACATATGACACATACATATGTATCATACATGTATATATTTAAACTCATAATTTTCTATGAACCCCTAGGGCTCAAAGGTATTGTTGTCCCCTCTTACACAAGAAAAGACATTAACATGCCTTCATTTCCCTTCTTTCTGGGTACCATCACATCCCTTCACAAAGTTCGACCCCCTCTAGTAAACAGTTTCAAGGACTCCTAATTTTTCTTTCATACTTTAAAAAAAAAAAATTGATTGATTGATTGACCTTCGAGAGAGAAAGCGCAGAGAGAAACATCGATTTGTTGTTCCACTTATTGATGCCTTCATTGGTTCATTCTTGCATGTGCCCTGACCGGGGATTGAACCTGCAACCTTAGTTATTGGAACAACACCATAATCCACTGAGAAACCCGACCAGGGCTTCGTCCGTGTTTTTAATTCCACTGCTCTTTTGTGCTTTTTTTGCTTACTCCTACAGACTGTAAATTGGCTTTCAATTTTGTTAATTCAGTCACTCCCTTTTACAGCAATGAGCACAACTTCAATTTCTAAAGTGTCTAGTATATTTCCCTTTAATGAACATAAGATTCTCTTGGATCTTTCTGAAAATAGCAAGGTTAATCCAATGCTGTTCTATTTTCTCGGGGATTAGTTCTCTTGTCCGTTCAATATGGCAATTCTCTTAATACTGCTTTTTCCGACTGTTTGGTGATTTTCCAGGTCTGCTGCTATTTGTATTAGAGAACACCTGTTTCCCCATTGTACCGCCTTGGACGACGCTGCTGGAGAGCTGGGACGTGCTGTCGGGAGGCTAGCGAGGTCAGGGGACTCCGTCCCTATCTCTGGTACAGCGCCGACATTTACTGCTTTACGCAGTGAGAAAGCAATCTTGCTACTTGCCACAAATTATTGAAGGAAGAGAAGGTCAACCAGCCTAGTGCACCAAGGCTGCTCAGATCCCCAGGCGTCCTCTGCTTCTCCCTTCCCTCAGCGCTGCCCGGGGCTCTCCACCCCGACCTTTGCAGGAACCTCCGCCTGCACATTTTCTGGACAACGTTTCTGCCAGGTTTCTCTCTCAGATCTCTTCCTACTGACCAAGTACTTTAGAGATTCCCGCCAAATGCTGGTCCACGGATGACATTCTGCCCTGTTTATTCAGGCTGTTCTTATTTTTATGGAGCTTTCAAAATGCACACTTTAGTTATTTCATTGAATTTCAATGAGTCCACCTCTCCAGTCACATCCCAGAGTAAAAGTTTCTTGATGCCACTTAGTCTCCATACAAAATGCAAGACCTTGTACAGTTCTGTTCTCTTATCTGCCGGGTGAAAGCTTCCATGAAAATAACGACCTTCATTTGAGGAAAGAGGGAACATGGGAAAAAAAGACAGAATTGTACAACAATATATCAGTATAAGCCGCCCTGGCTGGTGTAGGTTGGTGGGTTGGGCATCATCCTACAAACCGAAAGATGGCGGGTTTGATTCCCAGTCAGGGCACATGCCTGGGTTATAGGTTTGGTTCCCTGTTGGGATGCGTGCAAGAGGTGACAGAGTGACGTTCCTCTCTCACATCGATGTTTCTCTCCCTCTCTTTCTCCCTCTCTTCCCTTGAATTCTCTGTTTCCTCTCTCTCATTTGATAGTGCTGGTTATGTGGAGTAATCATATTATAAGAAATTAATACCATTGTGCTAGAAGCTTGCTTTGGCAAAACTGTTCATAAGTTTTTCTTTCATCTCACTTGGAAGGCATCACTATTTTCCTTTTAGCCCAACCTAAAGTCTGCAGTAAGAATTTATACCCACCAAATTTTAGAAGTGACCAACCCAAGAAATTTATCAGGCTTCATTCAACAGTAAATAATAGTAAACCCAGAGACAAAGTAAAACAGAAAGAAAAATCCTAAATATCACTACAAGGATGGACCTTCTATCTCTCTACCACAATCTTTTTTTTAAGATTTTATATATTTAGTTTTAGAGAGAAGGGATGGGTGAGAGAAAGAAAGGGAGAGAAACATCAATATGAGAGAGAAACATCAATCAGTTGCCTCTTGTACCCACCCTGACTGGGGACCGAACCTGCAACCCAGGCATGTGCCCTGACTAAGGACCAAACCCATGACCCTTTGCTTTGCAGGGTGATGCCCAACCCACTGAGCCATACCGGTCAGGGCCCCACTAGGATCTTAATAAAAACATTTAATACCAGTATAGCTGAACGGGTATATACCAGGTGAACATCAATTTGGTACCTACTCTCCCCGTAGACTTAGCAGGAGGCTGGGGCCTTGTCTAAGAATCGAACTGGGCTCCTGAAGAGTAATTTCAGTAACTTGGAAACTTCAACCACATCTTTGGAAGCGAAGAGATTAACTGTTTAAAAAACATATCTATGACTTGGTAATCACGCCCCTTTTTCTCTCATGGGGGATAAAGAAAAGGAGTAAACATAGGTTCAGATTATAATCTGTACAAGGGGACAGGTCTTGAGGTGTAGGGGAATTTAAGATATCACCCCTCTCTCTCTCTCTTTTTTTTTTACCGTTTTTGAGGATTAATATTTGTCCTAGTGGAAACGTGTGTTCAAATAGTTTCCTGTTGGACACTCACAAGAATACAAATGTGTATCTAAACGCAGGTCAGAAGAGCTGTACTCGGGTACAAAAAATGCCACCAAACACATTTCCTCCTGATGTGGAGTATAAAGCGTTTTCTGTTTGTTTATTGGTTTAATTTTTTATTTACTGATTTTGAGAGAGAGAGAAATATTGGTTTGTTCCACTCATGTATACATTCATTGGTTGATTTCTTGTATGTACCCTGACCGGGAATCAAACCCACAGCCTTGGTGTATCAGGACAACGCTTCAATCAACTGAGCCACCCGGCCAGGGCCAAAAGCATTTTTTTTAAAATCCCAAGGTACC